GGAGCTTTGGGGAACACAGCACTCCTTAAGTGTCCCACTGAGGGGACATCAGGTGACAGCAGAGACGGTCATGGGGCAAATGCCATCCTGGTGCCATCCTGGTGCCATCTTGGTGGAAGGGGAAAAGGCAAAAGCTGCTGTTTACTCACTAATCCAGAAAAACATATGGAATCCACAGTGTGCTCATTTTGTACAGGAAGATCTGCCATCCCACGTGCTCTGCCTGTGGCTGATGAGAAAATGTCCTTTTACCCCAAATTTCCAGAGTCACCTGCAATGGGCACACCCTGGACCTGCAGCACTTTGGGATCAGAAGCACCATTTGGGCTTCATCCCCCATTTCTCACCCCCAGGCCAGATTCATGCTGGATCTGATCCCAGCTCCGATTTTTGGGGATGAGCTGATAATTTATAACTTCCCATAAAACAGCCACATCCAAAGAAAAGTGAGATGCATAATTAAGTTGGAGCTTTTTTGTTGTATTTTTTAAACCTTGACTTGGACTCTGAGCCAGGATATTGGAGCATCAATTAGGGGAAATGTTGTCAGCTTTAGGTAGGGATTTTCTCTATAAAAAAGAAGGGGGCCTGGGACATGGGCAGGAAAGATGGGAAAACCTGAAGACACCAAACACTCCCAGCCTCCATGGATGCAACACCCCTGTGGCTCCAAAGGCTTTCTGGGCAGTTAAATTACATTTGGCTGCTTGGTTAAAGATGGGATAATTATTTCCAGGGAGGCAGACACGGTCCAGATGCACTTCTCCCTCCATAACTGCACTAACACCACCCCAAAGCCCAAGGAAATGCCATTTCCCAGGCCCAGGAGGCCATCTGGATGGCAGCAGAGCTTTGCCAGGTCTCCTCTTGACTTTATTAAGCAGATATTTAGTACCTCATTATCTGTCTGCAGGAAACACTTGGGGGCACACAGCAGCATCTTCCACTCCAGGAGATGAACAGGCTCTGCAAATTCCAGGTGCCTGGAGCTGCTCTGTGCTGCTCTTCTGACATTTCCACCCCTCAGGATTTGTTTGTGGCTGGATACAGCCCTGTCTCTGAGAGGTTAAAAGAGCCAGAGGCTGATCCCTGGCTATTCCAAGCCCTGAGCATGTTTCCAAAACAGAATGTAAACACTTTTATTGTGGCAAGGATTCCTCTGCTCCTCCTGCCTTGTGTCATGCAGCCAAAGGAAAAGGAGAGCACTTTTTCTCCCCTCATAAAGCAGGGTGTGCTCAGGCTCTGACATTGACATCAAACAAGTGCATGGCTCCCTTCCCATCTTTCTGGCTGTCCCTCGGTCATGGATTTGCAATTTCCCTGCTGACAAATCCGGAGCAGCCAAAGGAAATGAGTTTGCTGGAGTTTTGGGGGTTTTTTTCCCCCACTGCAACAGAAAATGCCACAGTGGAACTGGTGGAGAGGAGATGTGGAAATGAGGAAACAGTGGAAAGGTGTTATTTCAACTTTCCCCTCAGAAATCCTGGCCTCAGAGATACCAGGGAGCCTTGGAAAGAATTACAGAATATCCTGAGCTGGAAGGCACCAAGGACCAGCTCCTGAAAGGTGCCTGTGCTCAACTTGGGCTCTTTCTGCAGCAGCACTGACACACCCAGAGCACACAGCCTCGAGCTGCACCAAGGGAATACAGGTTGGATAACAGGAAAAAGTTTTTTACAGAAAGAGTGATAAAGTTCTGGAATGGCTGCCCAGGGAGGTGGTGCAGTCCCCATCCCTGGGTGTGTTTAACAAAGCCTGGATGTGGCACTGGGTGCCAGGGCTGAGCTGAGCTGTTGGGGCTGGACTGGACTCGATGATCCTGAAGGTCTCTCCCAGCCCTGTGATTCTGCGAATTCTGTGAATTCTGTGATTCTGTGGATTCTGTGATTCTGTGAATTCTGTGATTCTGTGGATTCTGTGAATTCTGTGAATTCTGTGAATTCTGTGATTCTGTGATTCTGTGAATTCTGTGATTCTGTGGATTCTGTGAATTCTGTGGATGACAGCCCAGCTCCTGGCCCTGCCCAGATCCCCAACAATCCACCCTGGGCATCCCTGGCAGCTCCTGGAGCTCTGGGGCTGTGCCCATTCCCTGGGCAGCCTGGGCAGTGCCAGCCCCCTCTGCATGAAGACCCTTCCCTAATACCCAACCTAAACCTTCCCTGGGTCCTGTCCCTGCTCAGCAAAGCCCATTTCAAGTGTGGACTCAGCACAAGGGGCTGATCCCTGATCCAGTTTTTCCCATCCTGGAACACCAATCAATGTAATGGAGCTGTTGGAACGAGTCCAAGGTGATCAGAGGGATGGAGCAGCTCTCCCATAAGGAAAGGCTGAGGGAGAATTGGGATTGTTCAGCCTGGAAAAGACTTCAGGGTGACCTAATTGCAGCCTCCAGTGCCTGAAAGGAGCCTACAAAAACATGGAGAAAGATTATTTACAAGGGCCTGGAATGACAAGGAAGTTTTCCCCATCCACATCATTCCCCTGCTCCGGTTTAGACTCTTGCTGCTACAAAATCCACGTGCAAAAAGATCTGTCAGCACCTGTGGTGGGGAACAGGACAGCTCTGGTCTCCAGGACTGACAAACTCAGCCTTGCTGGGGCAGAGCAAGAGTTTTAACCAAAATAAAGGATTTTCCCCTCGTTTTTCAACATTCCACTGCTGCACAGGAGGGCTGAGATGCACACACAGAGTGCAGTGCTCAGCTGTTAAACCCCACAGGGCAGATGCACCTGCTGGGTCAGGATGTGAAAAGCACCAATCACTTGTTTTTAAAAGTTTAATCGTAATAAAATGGTTATAAAAATAGGAATACAATTAGAGTAATAATAATTTGGACAATTTGGATTAGGACAATATGAGACAATAGAAACAAAGAGTTTCTGGGCAAAATAAGCCTAAAAAAAGGTCCCACGTTAACAGAGGATTAACCCTTAAAAACAACAGCCTGTTGCATATTCATACAGCTCACCCATGATGCATAAATTCCATTCAAACACAGGATTCTGTCTGGGCAGTGTCAGTTTCTTTCTCTGAATCCTGACAGCGCCTTCGAGGCAGGAAGAAGTTCATTTCTCCTGATAATGGAGCAATAAATTCTCTTTCTCTGAAAGATTCAGGTGTCCTGTGGCTGCTATCTCAGTGCGAGCCCTTTCTTTAAAAAAAATATCCCACATAGCACAGTTTCTATTTTAACATTTTGCTATAACCTAAAACTAAAACTATTTAACACACCACTCAAGAGAATTAACACAGCACCACTTTCTGACACAACACATATAACATTCATTTGAATATTTGCAAAAAGCCAACCATAAAATCCACATTTTTCACAAGGATATCCCCCCACAGCCATTGCTGGGAACTGGGAGGATGCTCCTGGAGGAAAATTGTCCAAAAATTGCTGCATTCCAGCTGCAGGTGCAGGAACTCTGCCCTGAGCCTCAATGGGGAAAGCTGGGCTGACCCCATGTGGCCATGCCCCTGTTATGGCAGGGTTTTGGTTTTAGAAAGCATTGACTTCCAAATTTATTTGCATAAATTTTTAAATCTACCTCAAATCTATAAAACTTTTCCATCCAGGAAAAGGCACTGTGGTAGGGGTTAAGCTAAACCCCTGTCTGGCATTTTTTAGACCATGGAAATGTGTCCACACTCTCTGTGTCCCTGTTCAACCAGGCAAAGCAGCACAATAAAACATTCATTTTTAGCATGGATGGGACATTCCCACTCCTCTGAATCCCTCAAAACAAATGAGAAGGGATAGGAGGGGAGACTCACACCCAGTTTGTGCCTTTCCCTCCCAATAAAAGGTTAAATATTGCAGTGGTTCATCTGGCTGCAATCTGAGCTTCGCCCCCAGATTTTGGGTGTGCCTGGACCAAGGAAGGTCGGTGTGTGTCATCTGGTCACTCTGGGCCTGAAGAAGTCAAAAACTAAGGAATGTTGATTGTTTCCATGGTTACAGGATGATTCATTCTGATGGTGAAATAACAGGGGAGACACATGGAAAATGAGAATCATGTCTCAGAAGCGTTTTGTGTAATTATTGCGTTCACCAGTTCTCCTGCTGCAGGCTATGTGCGTGCCCTGACCTCAGCTATTCGTAAAACTGTCCCTTGAGATGATTCCAAAGTTGGGGTTTTTATTAAAAATGAATTTAAACCCTTACTCATGGAGTCTGTCAGCCTTGGACACTGAACAAGGCCCGTCCCAGTGCAGGTCTTGTCCAAGCAGAGCAATGGAGCCTCCAAAAAAAAATCCCACTGAGATAAAAATGATCAAAGTGAGGGCCTGGAGGGACAGAACAAGAGGTAATGGCTTTTAATTGGAATAGGGTGGGTTTAGATGGGATATTAGGGAGGAATTGTTCCCTGTGAGGGTGGGGAGGCACAGGGTGCCCAGAGCAGCTGTGGCTGTCCCTGAATGTCTAGAAGCATCCAAGGCCAGGGCTTGGAGCAGCCTGGGATAGAGGAAGGTGTCCCTGCCATGGCAGGAGCTGGAACAAGATCATCTCTAAAGGTCCTTTCCCACTCAGCCCAGTTTGGAATTCCACATGCCTCAGCCTCGGCATTCCTGAGGGGGTGCAAGGAGTGTGTGTTTGTGTCGTGCCTCGCTGCCTTCACCTTTCCCCTCGCAGAGCCCACTGGGCCTTCTGTGAGGGTGAAAAGACCCTTCAGGCAGCGGGAAGAGCGGCAGAAGCACCGACCCCGGACAAAACCCCCCACCAATACACGGCACCGTCCGCCATCTTGGCGGGGCCCTGACGGGGGCGGGAGGGGCGTGGCCCCTCTGAGGGAAGGGGCGTGTCCGCAGCGCTCCCGCCCAATCCGCGCGAGGGAGCACGCCGGGCCCTAAAGGTCGCGAGGCCGGCTGAGGGCCGAATGAGGGCGTGGCCGGAGGGCGGAGCTCGGCGGCGATTGGCTGCGCTCGGCTCCGGTCGGCTGCGATTGGCTGTGCTCGGGAGGGCGGGCGCGCGCGCGCGCCGGGCCGGGCATGGCCCCGCCCACCGGTTGCCACGTCCGTGCGGCGCGTGCGGCGGGGCCGGCGCGCGCGGGTGAGTGCGGGCAGGGGGGCCCTGAGGGGCTGAGGGAGGGATCGGGGGGGATCGAGGGGGATCGAGGGGATCGGGGTCCCCACTCTGAGGGGTCGGACTGGGGACGGGTCCCATCCCCAGGGGGCTGCTGCAGCTCAGGGGCGCTGTGAGGACACCACTGAGAGACTCTGCGTGTGTGGCGGGTTGGTATGAGCGCCCCGAAGGTCTGTGTGTGTGAGGCAGCGGCATGCACCGCCACCGAGGGGCTGCGGATGGAGTGAGGGCTGCCCTCAGCACGGCGTGTGTGAGTTGAGGGGCTGGTTTGGGGAAGGGTTCTACCCCCGAGGCGCAGCTTGAGCTGTAGGGACCCCCCGAGACACCGTGTGAGGGGTGAGGAGGTGTGGGACCCCCCGAGATTGTGTGTGAGGTGTGGAGACCCCCCCGAATTGAGGGGATCCCCTCACGGCGCCCTGTGTGAGGTGAGGGAGCCCCTGGAGAGGTTGGTGTGTCCCAAGGGGCTGCTCCGGCTGAGGAAAGCCCTGGAGACCCTCCGGGGGCACAGCTGGGCTCTGTCACCCCGTACCCCAAATCTGGGGGCTGGCAGGGCTCTGGCCTGGCACCCACTGACCCTCCCAGGGGTTTGGGGGTGTCCCCCGGGATGGCAGCTCAGCTCAGGGGGTCCCTGGCCATACCCTGCTCCCAACACGTGTGGGGACCAGGGCGACCCACAGGCCTGAGCTCTCCTTCTCTGTGTCTTAATCCTTTTTTCTTATTTTTAATTGACATTATCCTAAATCATATTTCTGCCTCCAGAAAACAAACGTAACTCTCCGCTCCATCCTGCTCCAGCTGTGCCGGGAGTAGTTGGGAAAGTGACTCTGAGTTGGTCACTGATTGCTCATAGAGCATCAAAAATTTGATTTTCTCTTTGTGCTTTTCCCTGGGTGTGCTGTAACCCTGAGCTGGAGTTTGAGGTTTGCTTTGTTCTGTACAGACACTGTTGGAATGTTGATGTGGACGCTTGGGAGTTCTGGGGGACAGAGGAGAAGTGACATTGGGCTGGTTGAGCTGGAGGAACAGAGAAATCTGTGGGAATGTTTCTCTTTGCAGTTCATCTTTCCCTCTGTTCCATTTTGAAAATTCACACGAGATGAGAGTTTGTGTTGCTGTTGAATTGCTGTAACAGCAAATGTTTTACTTTTATATGCAAAATTAGGGTGAGAGCTGGGATTCAAAGGCCGGTGTGTACCAGCAGGTGGCATTAAAAAAAAATTATGTTGTTTTTTTTTTAGTTAAGAACTTCCAGTTGGGTTTCTGGAACCACTTTCACTTTTGAGGCTCATTACACTGTGATGCCTCACAGCAAACATTCTCTTCTTTCTTTGGGCTGTCAGGTGTGTTATGTTAAAAAGTGCCATCCCAAACATTTTTTTCTTTCTGCTGTTTGGCCTGACCACTGCTGTATTCATGGTGCAGCCAAGGAAATCTGTAGATTGTTAAAGAAATGAGAAGTTTTCATGAGCTCTGCTTATCCCAGAACCCTGACCAGGTATTCCACAGGGGACAGAATAAGAATTATTTTCCTTTATCATGGAATTTATCGTGGCATTTATAATGGAATTCCAGGTTGGAAGGGACCTTAAAGCCCATCTCATTGCACCCCCTGCCATGCTCAGGGACACCTTCCACTGTCCCAGGTGGCTCCAAGCCCTGTCCAACCTTGACTGCAATAAGGAAAATGCCTCCCTTTGTCACCCAGAATCACCCAGTCTCTTCAATCATTAACAGGTGTCCCACTGTCACCTTGGCCCTGTTTCCTGGCCACCCTGGGGCTGTGCTTGGCTCTGCAAACACACACAGCAAACAGGAGGGGCAGGCTGAGCTGGGGCTGTGCCATCACCCCTGTGGGACGTGGCACCTTGTGCCCCAGAGATGAAATATCTGTGGGGTGGGACTGCCTGGGAAGAAATGCAGGTTTGAAATAAATTGAGCAGGAGTGCAGCTGATGGCTGGACAGGTTGTTGGGAGGTTTTTTGGGAGTGATGCTTTCCTTCCCACAGGGCTGTGGGGGTGAATCCCCTCTCTGAGGCGCTGTTTATCCTGGGCTGTCCCGGGACAAACACACCAGCTCTGTGTGCACACACTCTGGTGAAGGCTGAGCAGATGAAGTGAACAGCAGTGTGTTCACCTTCCTGGAAATCCCTGAGGCACACCCCATGCCATGCTGCAGGGGGAAAGGCTTTAATTTAGAGTTTAAACCATGCCAGAACAGTTTATTTAGAGTTTAAACCATGCTAGAACAGCTTATTTAGAGTTTAAACCATGCTAGAACAGTTTATTTAGAGTTTAAACCATGCCAGAACAGTTTATTTAGAGTTTAAACCATGCTAGAACAGCTTATTTAGAGTTTAAACCATGCTAGAACAGTTTATTTAGAGTTTAAACCATGCTAGAACAGCTTATTTAGAGTTTAAACCATGCTAGAACAGCTTAGAGTTTAACCCATGCCAGAACAGCTTGTTTAGAATTTAAACCATGCCAGAACAGCTTGTTTAGAGTTTAAACCATGCTAGAACAGCTTATTTAGAGTTTAAACCATGCTAGAACAGCTTATTTAGAGTTTAAACCATGCCAGAACAGTTTATTTAGAGTTTAAACCATGCTAGAACAGCTTATTTAGAGTTTAAACCATGCTAGAACAGTTTATTTAGAGTTTAACCCATGCCAGAACAGCTTGTTTAGAATTTAAACCATGCCAGAACAGCTTATTTAGAGTTTAAACCATGCCAGAACAGCTTATTTAGAGTTTAACCCATGCCAGAACAGCTTATTTAGAGTTTAACCCATGGTTTACCTGTGCCATTGCAGGTCTGTTGGCAGCCATGATGCCCGTGGCCACCGTGATGCCCGATGACACGCCCATGTTCGACCCCAGGATGCTGCAGGAGCTGGACTGGAGTGAGAACACCACCACCTTCTCTCCTGCCATTTCTCCTCTGGATCCAGGGGATGGGCTGGTGCTGAGGCCACTTTGCACAGCTGATGTAAATCGAGGTAGGATCCTGGTTTGTTATTGCCAGAAGTGACACTGAGTTGGTGACTTGTGTTTCTGGAGTTCTCAGTGGATTGGGATGGCTCATTTTCCCTGATTGGGGTTGTTTTTATCAGTAAAGAATTTGATGGAATTTTAGGACATCCTGAGTTGCAGGAGACCCACAGGGATCATTGAGTCCAAGCCCTGAACCTGCACAGGACACCCCAACAATGCCATCCTGAGCCTTGTCCTGACATCCCTTGGGGCTGTGACCATGTCCTGCGTTGTCCTGTGTCACCACACCCCTGAATTTGAGCTTTTTGGTGCTGTATGGGGTGACCCTGAAAATCTGGTTTACTGTTTTAATCCTAAAATTCAAGTAAAATCTTCCAAATAATCCACAAGTTCCCATTCCCCATGGTTTTGGAGAGGGAGCACAGTTGTTGATACTGTAGCCTTTAATACCAAAACAACATGAACAAGCATCTTGGTGCATGAATTCTCCTTAATTTCTGAATTTGGATAAAAGTGTTGCTTTGGACTCATTATTCCAGCTCACTTGAGCTTTAGCCAATCCTTCACCATTTTTCCATCCATTGTGATGTGCTGGTGCCATGGTCCCTCTCCACACAGCTGTGCTGGATTGTTCCTTGCTGTTTGGAGCTGCTTGCGTGTCTGTCCCTCACTGAGAGTTGTTTTTGTTTTCCCCTCTTTTCCTGCCAGGCTTTTTTAAGGTTCTGGGTCAGCTGACAGAAACAGGAGTGGTGAGCCCGGAGCAGTTCATCAGTGAGTACCTCATCATTCCTTGGCTTTCCACAGGGAATCAAAGGATGCTGACAGACAGCAGAGCTGCTCAGGTGTGAGGCTGCTGATGCCAGAGGGAGGGATGAGTTCAGCTCCCCTTGGCACTCAGCCTTGCATCCAGCTGCAGCCATGCCCAAGGGCTGCTTAAATTGCTGCCTGAATTGTGGAGCTGGTTTTTACACTGAGCTTTACCTAGCTGGAGGATGGAGTATTTGGGTTGCTCCAAGCCCCTCCAGGCTGGACTGGAACACTCTGCAGGATGGGGCAGGCACAGCTGCTCTGGGCACCCTGTGCCAGCCCCTCATCACCCTCCCAGGGAACAATTCCTTCCCAATATTCCATCCATCCCTGCCCTTCCAGTGGGAAGCCATCCCCTGGTGCTGTCCCCCCAGTCCTTGACCAAAATCCCTCTCCAGCTTTCTCTGAACCTTTTTAGATCCTCTGTAAATCCTGCTCCTGGGCCAGACAGGCAGTGGGGAGGCAGCTCAGGGAATCACAGGATCTGAGGCAAAGCCAGCACAATCCCTGTCCCCAGTGTCACATCCTCACAGCTTCTGAATCCCTCCAGGGATGGGGTCTCCACCCCTGCCCTGGGCAGCTGTGCCAGGGCTGGACAACCCTTTCCATGAGATTCTTCCCTGTGAGGGTGGGCAGGCCCTGGCACAGGTGCCCAGAGCAGCTGTGGCTGCTCCTGGATCCCTGGAGGTGTCCAAGGCCAGGGACTTGGAGCAGCCTGGGACAGGGGGAGGTGTCCCTGCCCATGAAGGGGGTGGCACTGGATGAGCTTTAAGCTCCTTCCAGCCCAGAGCATTCCATGGTTGGATACTGTAGTGCCCGTGTGCAGAGCAGCTCAGCAAGGAGTGTTCTCTGGGAAAATAAGGAAAAGGAATTTGTGTAATTCCTGCTTTTTCATGGGTGTCTGACTCTGGGGCATCCATTTTCTGGACTCTTGGGTGCATCATCCCTGTGATTCCCCAGTGATTTGCAGTCAGACACTGCTGCAGGGATCACATTGAACTGCAGTTCCCTGTGAGCCCGAACTGCCTTTCCACACTGTGCCTCTCCCACAGAAACCTTCGAGCACATGAAGAGGTCTGGGGATTACTACGTGACCGTGGTGGAGGACACCAACCTGGGCCAGATCGTTGCCACAGCAACGCTGGTTATAGAGCATAAATTCACCCACTCCTGTGCCAAGGTAAATCTGCAGCTGGGGAGGGGGGAAAACATCCTGGCCGTGACTCTGGGAGTGTGGGTTTCATGGTGTTACTGGGTGGTGACAGCCTCAGGTTGTATCAGGGGAGGTTTAGGTTGGATATTGGGGAAAATTTCCATGTGGTAAAGGTGATCCAGGCCTGTACAGGCTGCTCAGGGCAGGGTGGAGTCCCCATCCCTGGAGGGATTTAAAATCCATGTGTATGTGGCACTTGGGGACGGGGGCAGTGGTGGCCTTGGCAGTGCTGGGGAACAGTTGGGCTCGATGGTCTTGAAAGGCTTTTCCAACCTTAAAAATGGAAATATTTAAAAAATATATTTTAAAATATCAAGTACTTAAAAAATGCATCACATCCTTGAGTGCTGATCTGGTAGCAGAAGGAGGCTTTGGCTTTTGCTAAGGGAAAGGAGCCCTTGGGGATGTGTCCCATTGTCCCCTGGGAGGGGTCGGAGTGGCTCTGGCAGAGCAGAGGGCTGAGGATCCCCGTGCTGGGAGCAGCTCCAGGGCTAACAAACAATGTCTGTGCTTGCAGAGAGGCAGGATAGAGGATGTGGTGGTCAGCGGGGAGTGCAGAGGGAAGCAGCTTGGAAAACTGTGAGTATTCCCCACCTGTGCCATTCAGCAATCCCTTCACAGCTCACACCTTCCTGCCAAGCACCTGGGGAGGGTTCAGCCAGCTGGGATCACCAGCTGGGCATGAAATGATCTGCAGGAGAACACAGAGAGCGCTGTGAGCCCTCAGTGTTGTGCCTGTGATAACAAAACTCATTGAAAATTCACTGATCCAGCATTTAACTGCTGATTTTTTATCTTTTTCCAGATTAACGTCCACCCTCACCTTGCTAAGTAAGAGACTGAACTGTTACAAAATCACTCTGGAGTGTCTGCCCAAAAATGTGGATTTCTACAAGAAGTTTGGCTACTTGGTATCTGATGAGAACTACATGTTTCAACGGTTCTTTAATTAACAGTTTCTAGGTGTTCTGGGTTCTTGTTTTTCTTGGAAAGACTGTTGGTGGAGGAGCTTGTGCTGCAAACATTCTCTCCGTGGAAAATTTCTATAGTTTATTGCTGCAGATATAACAATCCCTATAAATAATGAACATCAAATGTGTAAATCTTGGGGAAAAAAAAAAAATACTGAGGTTTTAGAAAGAGTCCTTTGGGTTAGAAAATAAGTTTAGAACTAATTTTTACTACTGTTGAGTCGAGGTGAAGCTTTTCTGTTCTAGCTGAGTTACAAAGGACTCCTTAAAGGGATGGTTTTTAACCAAAGGTCTATATTTTTATCTCAAATTTTTTCTTGCATTGTATTTTTCTAAAGGTTTGTGCTTCTTTTCTCAGTAGCCCAAGGACAGCCCTGGGACTGTCCTGGCTGTGCTGATGGAAGGATGATGTAGCTGGGGAAGGGATGAGGCTTCTCTTATGTAGAATCAGTGACACAGAACAGGCCTTGGTTCTGGATTTTTCCATGACACCTCATGGAAGTGCTGGTGAAGTTTTTTCTAGGCTCTGTTTTCCAAGATTGGATTTGTTACTGTTGGTGCAGGTTGGGGAGAATCCTTCCAGGCTGTGCTGAACATGGATGTGTGCTTGTCACTGCAGGGCTCCTGCACTTTAGCTGATAACTTGGTTTTCAGGATAATTACTTTGTTTTTTTCTGACATAAAAACCCCAAATGTGGTTTGCAACAGGGCAGAGGTAACTGGGAAACTGGAATGTGTGAAGGAGTATATCCCATAGGGAGTGGGGTTCTGGCTATAAATCACTGGGAAGGGGATTGGGATGGCAGAGTCAGCCCAGAACAGCCTCAGAGCCACCTCCAGGGCCTGAAAAGGAGGGAGAGGGATTTTTGTATGGGCAGGACACAGGGAATGGCTCCCAGTGCCAGAGGGCAGGGATGGATGGGATTTTGGGAAGGAATTGTTCCCTGTGAGGGTGGGCAGGCCCTGGCACAGGGTGCCCAGAGCAGCTGTGGCTGCCCCTGGATCCCTGGCAGTGCCCAAGGCCAGGCTGGACAGGGCTTGGAAGCAGCCTGGGACAGTGGGAGGTGTCCCTGTTGGAATGAGATGAATTTAAGGTCCCTTCCAACCCAAACCACTCTGGGATTTACTGAACACCCCTGGATCTGCAGAGGGCCAGGAGGGATTTGTACCTGTGGCACAGCAAAGCAGGAGAGAAATCCCCTCCTTCTCCCAAGGGATTGCTGTTCCTGCTGTGGAGCTTCCCTGGTGCTGCAGGACTGGATCCATGATTTGAGCACTTTGGCCAGGGGTGAAAAGCAAAGAACATCCCCAGGGCTGTTGCCAACAGTGGTGTTTTGTGTGGGGAGTGACAAATGGCACAGCATGAACGGGGCATTGTCCCCAGGCAGGGCTGTTTGTGGGCAGCCAGGCCTTGCACACTGTCCTGCTTTGTGCTCTGGAGAGCAGCTCTGCAGTGCTGGGGGCTCTGCTTGATCTTCCTGAGGGTTCTCCACTCCATCCAGTGTCTCCTTGGTGATGTCTGCTTTATTTATTGATTATTTTTTTAAAGAATATCTTTGTTTAAGCTGAATAAATGATTGCCACCTGTATCTGGACTGTTTTTCATGGAGTGAGGATGTGCTTGGTGAGCAGCAGCAGCTGCTGCAGGTACCTGTTCCCCTTCCCTGGGCTGCAAAGAACACTTTTAGCAGCTCCACGTGGATTTCTGTCCCAAGAGAAAGCAGATGTGCTCCTCTCACAGCATCTGCATGGCTCAAGCCCTGACTCTCATTCTCTAAAGCAGCTCCTGCTTTCTGCTGGCCCAAGTGACTGGGGTGGATTTTCTTGCCTTTCCCAGCTGTAATTAATTCAGAATTTCCAGGATTGAAAGTGGATTATTTGAATTCCACGGTATCTCCACCATGTAAAGAGCCCCAGGCCCTCATGAAGAGTTAATGAGGAGATCAGAGTGAGGAGCAGGTGCTGTGTGCTCACATCATTGTCACACAGATGAATGGGGCTGAAAGCACGACGGGCACAGCCCCTCGGGGAGCTCAAGGGCTCTTTGTTCCTCCCAGAGGTGACAAACAGCAGCTGGAGAGCTGCAAGGGCCCAGCCCGGGGACGGGGAGGTGCCACTGCGGGTCAGGTGTGCCCCAGGGCCACCACAGCCACACAGGGACACTGCCACAAGTGCCAGCTGTGCATGGCCCCGGGGACAGGGAAATGCTGCAGCCCCGAATTTATCCCCAGTGCAAAGGGCTGAGGAGGGAAGAGCAAGGGCCCTGTGTATTTGTTATGTGTATATAAAAATAGATCTAAAATATTGACATAAATATGTATAGTGTATATATAAAATATATCTATGGATCTTTTATGTATATATAACATGTATATATGGATATTTTATGTATATATAAAATCTATATTGACAGATTAATAATATATACATTTTTTTATATATACATACATATATATCTAAAGATACTCTCTCTATCCATATATATACATATACATATATACACATATATACATACATATACATATATATACACATATATACACACACACACACACATATATATATAAAATCTATCTATGGATATTTTATGCATATATAAAATGTATATATGGATATTGTATGTATATATAAAATCTATATTGACAGATTAATAATATATACATTTTTATATATACATACATATATATCTAATGATACTCTATCCATATATATACACATATACATATACACACACATATATACATACATATATATACACACATATGCATATATATACATATATATACACATATATATACATACATATATACACACACACACACACACATATATATATATATATATATATATATATATATATATATATATATATATATATATATATATAAAATCAACCATGACCTCCTTGAGGCAAGCACCAAACCTTTCATAAATGTCATTTCCCTGGACCACAAAGGCATCTGGTTACCTCTGTTTTAGATATACTTAATTATATATATTTCTATAGATCTCTTTATATATATTTATATAAATATATAATCATACAAATTTTATATATATATATATATATATATATATATAAAAACAGCAGTATTTGGACACATAGTTGATTAATACTGGAGAATCCCAGACTGCTGGGTGCCTCTGTTTTAGATATACTTAAGTATATCTATCTATATAGCTCTCTTTATAGATATTTATATAAACATATATAAAACCAGCAGTATTTGGACACAGTGTTGATTAATCCTGGAGAACCCCAGACTGCTTTGTGCTGCAAGAGACCTCAAAGCCCATCTCATTCCAGCCCTTGCCATGGACAGGGCCACTTCCACTGTCCCAGTTTGCTCCAAGCCTTGTCCAGCATTGCCTGCAACACTTTTATTTTTGGCAGAACCAGCCCTAACAGCACTACCAGCTTCTCCAGAGGTTGAATTTTACCTCTTCCCTATGAATTAATTTTTTTTCCCACCCTGAGGAGATTTCCATCTCCTTCACTCTGCTTCCCCTAAGCTGGAAAAGGCAATTTCAGCACCTCAATCAAGAGCTGTGGATTCCCAAAGATTTGGGTGTTACAATTTATGTTTGAACCTGGGAAATAAAAATAATAATTCACCCTCCACTTCTCCTTCCAGTCCACAGTGAGGGACCCTGCTTCAATTCCTGCCTTTAGTTCAACCCCCAAACCCAAATGTTGAAACAAAACCTTCCTGGCAGTGAAACTACAGCAGACAGACAGGGGAAGCTTTAAATAGATGGCTTAGTAATAGATCTGAGGAAAATGAAATCTCAGAATCCCCTGGGTCTGACAGGCAGACAGAGCAGAATGGCTGTAAAAGGCACCAGGAGGGGGCAATGCCAGGAAAAAACCTGGATTGATGAGAAACCCTTGGTCATGGAGCTTGTCAGGAGCAGGGAGTGCTCCCAGGACCCCAGAGAGAACAGACACGGACCAGGCTGGGCATGAATCAGTGCTTCCATCTGTGCTCCATCCCTCCCCTTCCCCAGGGACTGCAATGGAGGGGATTTGATGCCTCCCAGCCCAGCTCCAGGCTGGCAGTGCCTGGGGAGCTGCAGAGGCCAGGAATGCATTTCCCAACAGCCCCAGAGCATTCCTGCATGGAGGGACAAGTTCAGAGCAGAACAAACCCTGTGCAACTGCAAACCAGCACTGGGCATGGCAGAGGAGGGAAATCACTTCCTTCTCTGCAGCTGAAAAGCTCCTACCTAAAGCATCACACCATTTTTTGCAGATTTTTCCCCCCTGAAGGAATTACTGTGCTCCATCACTGCTATCAGGGTAGCAGCAGGAACAGGAATGTGCTGCTGGATGCTCTGATCCCCAAATCCTGAGCCCATTTTTCCTTGTTAAGTTTGATCCTGCTCACCAAGCTCAGAGTTCCCAAACACACACGTTTTTCTAACAGCCTTGCTGGGTCCCCACAGTGCTCCCAAATCATTGCAGCCCTGCTTTTAGGCAACAAACATTGGGAAATAAAGCAGATGCAGAAGCAGGACTGTGCTTGCACAACCTCTGTGCTGCTGAGGCATGAGAGTCACAGCTGCACAATCCCAAATTTGAAACTTTACAGCATCAAGAAATGTTTCCTTAGCTCAGGCTAAGGTTTTACCAGAGCTGAGGTGAATCCTTTCAGTCTTGATCCCATTATGAGCAGTGCCCTGGGCCTCAGTTTTCAAAGACAAACCAAATTTTTACCTCAAATGATGCCCCTACTCCTTGAAAACCATTTGAGGATGTTCTAGATAGTTCCAACTTGAATTCGCCTCTATGTTTATGTTCCTAAGGCACATTTCTGCCACAATACATACTGAGAACAAGGTGGATTTTAGCAAACTTTTTCTTTACTAAAGTCTCTTGTTATAAATTACACAAATAACTTTATAAACAAATCCCCCCCCGCTTGCATTTTGTTTAAAGTAATAACTTTATATCATACAAATAAAGAAATTTCAAGTATGAAAAGTGCATTATTGCAATAATACCTCTTTGCAAGTCCAAAAATCTTGGTTTAGAATAAAACTGTAAAGTGTAAAAAAGGAGTAAAACAATCAGTGCCATCTATTCATTCAAGAAGTCCAACATCTCAAAAATGATGCTTAGTGTGTTGCAGAGGCAGATTTACATCTGAAAGCAACATGTAATTGAAAAGAAGCTATGTGTGTTCATTGTTTTGCATTAATTCTTGTTCTGGTTTTTGTGTGGGTTTTTTTTTCCCTAGTTTTCTTCACCTTTCTTGGCAGGAATTCTCACTACAAGCAGTTCTTGTCCTCAGCCATTCTGTGCTGCCGCCACCTGCATGGTGCCAAGATCTTCATCCTCCTCGTGCATCCTCTTCAAACTTCCTGCAGGAGGAAAGAGGGAGCTTCAGCCAGGGCAAACCAGGACATTTAAACACTTCACAATGAAGTTTAAACTCAGCTTGCACACCAAAATCCCAAGAGTTTGGGATTGTGCTGCTAAAGGTTTGGGGAATGCCCTCACAGCCCCAGCAGAAGCTTCTCACCTGTGCTGCCAGGTGGGACTGAGAGGGATCTCTCCAGCTGCAGAGGTGACATCATCTGGATGGTTAATTTTGCTAGATAGATGGCTTCATATTCCTAAAAATGGCCAAAAATGTGGATTGGAATTACTCTGGCACAAAGCTTTGTAAGGATGAGCAGAGCAAATTCAGGGAGCATCTCATATTCAGGCACAGATTTGAGAAGTCTTTGTTGCTTTAACATGAATGACAAAAACCATCAGGAAATCAGAGGAAAAGTTCAA